AAGCCTGACCCTCTTCTCTTGCTGTAAAACCGAGCAAAAGAAGCTGCAGACAAACAGCATCTGGAATGTCAGAGCTCAGCTCTGACAACCTCTTCCTGGCATCACTCCCATCATTAAGGGGAATCATAAATAATATCCCCTTCTCTAATTTGCTGTTACAATGGTGATGCCAGTGAGATGACCCTTGAGGGTTCTTACCCAAGAGTGGCAAGCTGCCACAACCTCAACGCTATAGAGTTTGCTTGGCACAATTTCCCATGCACTATATAATGGTTTTCAAATGACATTTCTAACTTTTACTACCAATATGTTGTTACTTAACGTTACAGAAATCATAGATTGTTTCACATAATACACAGATTGTTGAAACTGCATGTTTAAATCTATTATCTATTATGTCTCTTAAAGAGAAAACGCATAAAAACATTTATGTGACAAGGAATGTAAAACTGCTGCCTGTTGTTATTGCATAGTACACTTCTTACTCTTCTTTCCATGAGAATCCGGGAGATATTTGCTTACTGCCTCAGTTTATTATGTAGCAGGTACTGCCTGCTGAGTGAGATATTAATGCTTAATTATGTCAATGGTCAGAAAGAAAGTAATCATACAGTATGTGCTACAAAACAAAATGCACATAGAAATTAGATATTTAATTAGATAATTTCTAAATATTAGTAACAGCAGAATGAAAAATAAATAAACGCACAAATACAATTTTAACCTTTTCCAGTAAGTCTTCCAAAAGACATCTGCTGTCATGATTCTGGGTTTTATTATACCCAGGAAAAATTCCAGCTTTTTCATTCCAGACTACAGTGAAACTTGTTGATTTAACAGACTACTCATTCATTACCTGTCTAATCAATGCTAAATGGATTTGATTTGCTGTATGTCACTGATTTCCTCTGCCATTCTAAAAGGAATCAACTGCTAAAGAAAGTGATTTTTTTTTACAATAGTCTTGCACAATAAGTGACTGCTTAAACCTGAATACCACATCAAAGCAGTGAAACAGACCAACTCAAGTGCAGTCATAGAGATTGATCATTTGGATCATGTCTCTCAGAAAGCAAGACGATGGCTGTGAGATTTTCATGGAGGGAAATAATACAGATTGCTCCTGCTGAACTCTGTCCTTTTGCCTTTAATTAAAACTGAGAGATCAGGGGACTCCCACTGAACTTCAGCTCAAGGAACTTAAGAACAGGTCATAATACTGAGATGTCAGAGTGGAAGAAGATTACCATAATAAGATAAAAGGAAAAAGATTGCAAAGATAAACAAACCTGGAAATTATACATGGCATCCAAAAATCATGAGGTTATCAGGAAAAGCACAGATGAGGCAGTGAAACACAACCACAACACAGCCAGCAGGTCTTCCATACACTGGAGAACATCAGATAACAAAACTTTTCAGTTCGATCTAAAACCCCTGCTGAAAACATACAGAACAGAAGCAAAAGACCTGAGCCCGGAGATTATAAAAGCATTGGCAATAGACTGAAATCAGTCTGCACAGCAAGACACATGCAAAAAAATCTTTTAACTGCAAAAAAATATTCAGTTTTCAACTGCAGACTTAAGAAAAATGCCTTAATGTTTACTCTCGGTACCACAAACACATATCTAAAGAATATGTAGTTTTTTTCTGGAAGCAAGGTAAAAAGGAAACTTTAAGTAGCCTTGTTGTTGTGGAAATGGCCTTAAAATGAGTCGGCTAGTACTTTTGTTGAAGAAATGGATTAATAGACTCAAATAATTAGAGTTGATGTAGCACTGTTGGGCAGAGCTCAAGATAACATATCGGGCAAAAGCAGTGCAGGGACATGCTAGCCAGCAAACGTGTGCTGCTGTATTTGACCTGATGACAGCGAAAGCTCTGAAGAAAAAAGTCACTATATCGCAGCAAGAAGTCATGCAGATATTTAATGCCACCCTCTTCCTAAAAAGACATCAGCATAGTAAGTGAAATAAAAACATCAAAATGTAATTTTCTGTCAAATACTGGACATCAAGACCAAATTTCCCTTGCACAGGAATTACTTAAGATCTTGCACACACAAAAGAACTTACATAGTAAACAAAGGCTTCCATTTTCTCAATGTTGCCTATTTCAAAAGCAACTATTGTTAAATAACCTATAAACTGCAGGTTTGTAAAATAAGATAAAATACACACATTTAGAAGCAAAATCCTTACAAATGATCAAGATAAACAATCTACACAATTCGATTATTTAACAGAATCACCTATTGTGTCACCACATCCTATGTATCTACTATGAAATATCACATGGAAAGCAGAACTAGAGACCTGGAATGCACAGTGTTGCTGAATTAAAAACACATCTCACGCCACCAGACCCCAGAAGACCACGACAAAGATGCAGTTTTAAATATTGGTGATATAGGTGATGTACAGTAGTTTGAATGTTTGTTAAGAAATACCGGGGGGGGCAAAAAATGATTAAAAAACACATTTCATTTTGGTGATATCAGTTAAGCTTTGGCTCTTCGCAGTTCCTCCAGAGCCACTGAAGGGAATGCTGCCTTTACTGAAAACCGGAACCCACCGAGCGCTTTCATAGCACAAACACCATTCTCGGGCCCTACCAAACGCAATACCGTATGCACTAGCACAGAAGAAAACACAGACGGAAATGAGACGCGATTACAGTTGCACAGCAGACCCCTGGAAAACATCTGCTTCCATAAAATGATATATCCCTGCGTTTCCCGTACATGAGTGATATCAAAAAGACAATAACTCCTCTTTGCAGCACAGACTGCCAACACTCCTTGCCTGCAGCGCCTCCGTTTACCATTGGGTGTCTCTCTTTCACTGTACATGTGTGCAACTCAAGCGCATACCCAACCGCCCCCCCTTCCCCCTCCCTCCCTTTCCTATCCCCCATCTCCACATAATATATACACCATCATTTGAAAATGGCAGCTTTTTGAAAATTCACCTTGATTATCAGACATTAAAAGTGACTTATCCAGCGCTGAGTGTCTGGCTGGGGGGATGGCTGCAGACAGCAGAACAATGCGGCTGGCTTGGTATTAACGCCTCATCGGGGCGCGCAGGGAAGGAAGGGGAGCCAGCCCTTTGTTCTCTCCCACATCCAATTATTTTTAACGTGTGCCTCTTTTCACAACAACAAGAGCGAATTTAATTTTAATGCACTCCAAAAAAACCCGCTATTCTTAAACAGAAAAGGGACCAGCACTGGGGGGTTAAGAATTAAGCACACATACATATCAATGTGCACACAGGCAGGCACTGATGATAATAAGGCACACTAACTCACACTTTAATACATACACAGAACTGCATTCTGCGTAGCACTGTGGCAAATGTGCAGATATATAGGCTACAGTTAAAATTATTTCAGATAGGGCTGCTTAAAAAAACAGTCCGAGTTAGATGGAAATAATGCAATCTTTGCAAAGTGCCAAGCCAATTAAAATATTACACATTGACGATGAGATGTCTTTAAAATAAGGAAAAAAAAAGGGTATAGGACCAAATATGTTCTAACCGGACAGCCACTTCATCTTGCTGTCGTAAATGCGGTAAGATCAGTGGTGCTCCCAGAAGCGACAGAGCGGAATGAGAGACTCCCTTTAACTTGCCGATCTTTGGCGCAGCGCTGTATATCTATCCATCAGAAGGAAACGTTTATATGCATTCAACACCACGCACCGCCATGCTGTTACATTACCAAAAACAAAAACATTACTGAAAATTGCTGAGGCTTCTGCAGAATTAATAGAATTTGCTGTTCACCACTTTACAGTGCCCCCTCTACACCCCAACTACAATTCAACCAAGAGATATGAAATGATCCTGCCCTCTTTATTATGGGTTCTGGTTCTTCAATCAGAGGACTGTGCTTTGCAAGACACCCCCATTTCTGGATCCACACACACACACAGTGAATTAAATTCCGGTCTCAGGAAGACCACTGACTGCTGAGTGTGACTCACTCCACTGCACAGTGAAACCAATTCTCCAGAGATACCAAAATTAAAGAGCACAGTCCAGTGTGTTTATGGTTTTCACTTTGTTCTATTCTCAATCAACTGTTTTACTAGCAACCTCTCCTTGCAGGGTCCTAGCTGTCATCCCTGCATTGTGCAATACTGTTCGTTAGCACTGACAGCTCACAGGCAAAATCTCCCCATTATGGGTGAAGTCATTTCTAGCTTTACTACAATCTCAATTATTTACACCTAAGCTTGTGGTCTCTAGGACCTATCTAATTAACCCCAGGTGTAGACTCTGAGGAAAAGGCACATTTTATTCTGGGCTTCTCTGTTCTGTCTTCAGAGCAGTCGAGTGCTTATGTGAAAACTTGTGTGTGGCTGTGCACACCCATCACATCTGGTTAACATATTGGTCAACATCGTTTTCGGTCGGCAAGACAAATGTTATGAAAGCATTTTTAAAATGAACAGCTAGTGTACATTTCACAGTCAAAACTCAGTGTGTAGATAATATGGAAAAAACGATATATTAAAAGAAAGGTTTTTTGGTAAAGTGTTTAGCCATAAGGAAAGTTTTAAAGAAATATTTTTTTTCTTAGAAGACTACACAACAACCACACTGCAACCAAGAGAAACCCTGACAACTTAGTTGCCACGATGACTGTTCCTTGAACGTGAAAACCACAGTAGGTGCCTCAGGTTAATGTCTTAAACAGCGGCACTGATGCAATTGAAAGATATTATTATTGGGTGAAAATGTGTGTGAGTACCTTTGTCGGCATGCAACAGTGATGCACTGAGCTTCATAGGCAAAAAAATGATGAGGTTTCGCACAGCGACGACACTCGTTCTGAAGCGCTGCTAGAGGGATTTGTAGGAACACTGCAAAGGTGTGCAGTGAGCCCGCGGGGGGGCGTAACGGGGGCAGTGCGTCCTGCAGTAGGTACAGTATGAAGAGCAGAAGGGCAGGGGGGGTGCGGCCTGCGGAGCTGCCTGGAGCTTTTACCTCTTTGCTGTCAGTCTTCAGACTGGACACCTCAGCCTGGAAAAAGACCTCTCTCTCCTCTGCCTGTCATTGCAGAAAAACACAGATTTAGAACGAGGGACCGTCGTTTTGTAAAAGATAAGTGTGTTTCACATCTCACACAGGTGTATTCAAGATGCTAAGAGTATGACGGAGGCACATGCACACTGTCCCAAATGAAAACCCTGATTCAGTATACCTCAGTGTTTTATTTGCTTGTTCATCATATAATTTCCTTCAAATATTTAACAACTGTCTGAAAAGTTTCAAACACACGCAATCCATTTTTAAATATGATAGATAGATACTTTATTGATCCCGTGAGGGAAATTGTAGTGCAACAGCAGCTTAACACACACAACACAGCCACAGTGTAACGAATTATATAATAATAGTACAATACATACAATACAATACAAGAGTTACTCACAGTCCGGACACAAAATAACAAAATCACAACAAAAAGTACCTTACAATGATACTAACGAAAAAATGGGCAGTATGAAAAATGGTTTAGAAGGATGATGTGCATTAATTGTGAGGCTTATTAGATCAATTTTAATGCTTTGCATACATCTGCAAAAACATTCTTGTATGACTACTGAGATATTCTTCAGACTACTATACACTTGAAGTTATGTAAAGGAGAGTAACTGATCTACGGTAGAGCGTTAACAGTTTTAATTATTAGAGTAATCATCCAGTTACTGAAAATGCAGGATCAAGCCCTTTTCTTCAAAACAGGGGCCTTTACTTCTTCCTTGTAACATCAACGCACAGAGGAAGCGAGAAGGGAGACCTGCTCCTCTCTTATTTGGTACTCCTATCATGTCACAGAGGAGGAGGCCCATGTAATCTGCTCCTGAGCCAGCACTGCTCAGATTAAACACTGCAGACATGGTGTATGCATCATTAAATCAGAGTGCGGTGTGCCGGGGTGAATGTCGACAAAGGTGACACATACGGTGAGATTTAAAGTAAAAGTAAAATCGCATTAATAATAACAATAAAGTTAGATCCACCTAGCTTCATTTCCATCACGAAGTGATGCGCATTCATTTCAAGCAAAATATGTTTGGGATTAATTTCTACTGCAGGAGAAAAATAATGGCAACCTGACACTGTGTATTGTGTAGGGGATATTGAAGACACTGTACAGGAGGTCTAGGCAGAGAAGGCAAAGAAATTAAATTTTATTACCTGCAGGGCTCCTAGACAGGAAAAAAAAAAGCGATCCGGATTAATTTCATTTACAGAGGCATGAACGCTCTGTGGCAGCTTTGTGAGGCAGGGAGTGATAAAGCCTTGGAGAGTGGAAGCAGAAAACAAGTTTAATGGAATACATTACTGGCAACAGAATGGTGCAAAATGCCACCTCACCCTCTTGCAGGCAGCTCGTGCTTCATCCTGCAGCCTTCGCGCTCTGTCCTGGCAGTGGGCGAGCTGGGCTCGGGTCTCAGAAAGCTGGCTCTCCAAGCCCTGGCAGCGCCGCCCAGCCTCCAGAGCCTCCGAGGCCCCTCTCTCTTCAGCAGCTCTCTGCAGAGAGCACACCGCGGCCGCCAGCCTTTCAACCTGCAGGGCGGCGGCACAGAGCACAGGCACGTTGGTGTACGTGACGAGTTTACCCCATAACCCCCGACGTGCGAGAGATATCAAGTGCTGTACAGGACAGTTCTTTCTGCGTGGCAGTTTTTAAATGAGGATTTATTTAGGTGTAGAAGCACAACCAGCATAGCGCAGACCCTCACATTTCCGGCACAGTTCACATTAATCAGCACATTCGGTTTTATCATTTCACAACAATTTGTGCACTGACTAATATTATAGGAGGACTGTTTATTTCCAATTGCTCTTAGATAAGGTTGCAACACCAATAATCTTCCCTTTCTTGTAGCACCATGCTGCCTGTTCACTGTCAAGACCTTAAACTGTGGCCAGAGCCTCAGATACTTCATACCAGGATTACAAACACAATGGAAAAAAAAACATAATTAAACAATACTGTAATAATATCTCACATGCCACGCAGTGTGCCTTATTGGATCAACACAACCAAAGTCTAAAGCACTCTGAAAGTGTTCACCTTCCTTCTCCAATGACAGGGCTGCAGTGGTTTATGTGGGCGATACAGACCCAGTAACATTGCCAAACAACCACTGGCACTGTTCTTGACATTTGTCCAATATATCACAAAGGGCAAATTCACCATTACAAGGGAAGCAAGACAGGGTGATGGAGTACCAAATAAGATACCGGTAACCGGTAATAAGTAGTCAACTGTAGCCAAAAGCAAATTGACTAACTGGTCACCAACACTAAACCAACAGCCACGTGTTCTCAAGTTATTAAAATGCAGACCAATTGTTTCAAGCTCAACCTCAATAATAAAGTTCTGTTTTTGGCTTTATCAAATGCTATTTCAAAGATGAAAACTAGAAAGTGGACAGAAGGGGAATTGGATGAGCTCACCAGACTGCTGGAACACTGTCTGAGAGTCTGCGGCCAGGGACGCTTCTTTATACTTTGCAATGAGTGCAATCACAAGCCCTCCAGTCATCCACAGAAAGGCACAAAGTATAATTTCTCAGTAACCTCACCAGGGAAAGCCGTGTAAGATCACAAGCTAATGGAAGGAGTGTGTGACTCACTGGGGAAATTTTATGTAAAAACATGGTCCAAATGTGAACACAGCATTACTTAAAGGACAAGATACACACAGCGAGCATGACTGAGGTGAGCACAGTGCTGTGCATGTCAATGGTTTCTTTACTTGCACTTAGATTCCTGGTCCAATTACAATGCGTGATGCTTTTTAGTAGATCTTTAGAACACATTAAGAGAAAAAACATTAGAAAAGGTCTTTTTTGTCAGGTATTGATTGTATCATACCATTTTTTTCTCATTTGAAGTATGCAACAGAAATATCTGAAAGGATGCTACAGCAATTTCTCATACAAAATGATAACACTAAAGCCTATAATTATTCCAGAGCAATAGGCACTAATCTTTTGACCAGACAAAACAACTATTGCTACACTCCCAACGCCATAACGACGTAAGCAGCATGGCTCAGTGCGTCTTGTCTTACCTCATCACTGAGCTCCAGCTTACATCCCCTCAGAGTGTTGTTCTCTTCCTTCAACTGCTCCAGATGACCGGTCACCTCAGCTAACTGCAGGAGATACAGTCAGAGAGCCCCAGACCACTTTAATCTCGGCTTCCTCTCGAATGCTAACAGACTCTTCCCTAACAGCAAACTGAATTCTGACACACGCTAAGGTTATAAAACTTCATCTGACTCTCTAGACATTACCTCTGCTGTATTAGTACAATTAAAATGTATTATACTTCACAAATCTTGGATATACTGTTAGAGGTTGTATAACATCCATCTGGACCACAGGTTTGGACTTTGCTGCTGAATTTTTAGCCTTTTCTTTTAAATTTTTTTAAGATTCCAGTTTTATGTTGCCTAGCTATAATTCTGAAAATTTCAAATCTGACAGGTGCAAGGAGGAAATTGTTACCATGACTGCTTAGCAAGTGAACTTGGCAGCTTATCATCCCGTCAGTCCTACAAATTATACCTCTTTTTGCTTTGCTGAGAGTTCACAACAACTAACAGTCAATAACTCGTAGAGCTGTTTTAAATTACATAACTGCTTTCAGAAAGAGTGCAGTCCTTGTTCATGCTTGTTCAGAAAGCCAAGGGACTGGGCAGTCTGTGGAATGCAAGAGCAGCACAGCACTCATGGACACTGTAAAATGCATGACTCGCTGTGGCTGGATAAAAAACACGTGAAGCTCAGAGTAGATCATGTTTATTCAGCATGGATCTTCTTTGATCTGAAATCTTAGGATACTGCCCCCGAGTCAATATGTGCTAATAATGCGATGATCCTGGCGTCGTATGTGCAAATGGATTCCACCTGTCGTGGACAGTCATCTTACTTTTATCAACTTTGTTAATGTCTGTGAATTATATCAAAATGTTCAGATATCAACAGACTTCAACACCAATTGCAAGAGAGAGACAGCATACCTATTTCATTTCCTCCAGTTAAAATATCTACATAACATTGTATTAAAATGGAGCAACTACCATTTTAAAGAAATGGAAAAAAAAAGATAAATCATGCCATAGAGATCTAAAAATAGAAATGGTCCATGTTCGTGAACTAAATCAGATTGTGCTTGAAATGGCATTTGTATTTGTATTAACGTGTATTCTAGTTTTAAATGACTAACTTAACAAGACCGACTTAAATGTACGTAAGCTGTATAGTATTTTTCCAGCATGGCTTTTGCTATTATTGCATAAACAGGAAGAATACAGCCAAACAATATGTTTAAATAACACGCCCAAATTCAGACACACATACAAACAGCTGTGGGTGCGAAGCATGAAGTTAGGAATGAAGGCCCTAAAAGCCTGGGCCTTGTAGTTGCGAGTATACCTGTCTGCGGAGTTCCTCTCCTTGCTGCCCCGCTGTGTGCAAATCCCTGTGCAGCTGCTGGGCACGGCTCTGTCCTTGCTGGAGCTCAGCCTGGCTCTTCTGCAGCTCCCTCTGCAGCTGAGAAATCCTCTGCTCCTGGACGTCCAACTATCGAACCACAAGACACGCCAGAGTGCAGAGGAAAAGAAAATCAATCCGCCATGTAAAGCCCCTTCATCTCTTCAGGAAAACTGCCAGCCCATCCCTGGACCTAACAGCCATGCCTTTACCCATCCAGTTTGCACTGACATCTCCTACATCCTCATTCTGACATGTAAACCATCAGCTATTGGATTTCTGCTTTCAAAACTAAATGTGCCTACAAAAAGAAAGTCTTTTCTACAAAACCTGTGTGCCAAAACAACAAACCCACCTTTCTATCACTCTTACAACTTATACTAAGGTAACCTAGAAACCTTCACCTGATTGCTTGTAACTATGGCTACACAGCCTCACAATTTAAAAGAATCGACACCAAACCAAAACAGAACCGAACCAATCTGGCTCTATTATAGAATATATGTATTAAATACCATGAAGCAAATCAGGAGATTTTATTCTGACCAAAGAAAACCCCACGAATTAAGTTCAGTTCCATGATATAGTAAAGACTGCACTATAACATAAAAAAATCCACACCTACTGGTCTACTCCATGAAGCACAATGACCTTCGTTTATTACTGTAAAAGCCTTCTTGTCTAAGAGAACAACAGGTTTTAAAAAATGTGCTGATTAACACGACACATTTACTTACTAACGCACAGCGCAGAGAGGAGTGACCGACCCCAAAAGCTGGTCCACCCCACGGTCAGCCCTACATACCTACAGTGGCACATTACTGCCTGAAGAAAGAGGCAAGATGGAGGCCCAGGAAATTAAGAACATTGTCCCTTCATAAAATGAAGACACTGAAAATTGAGAAGAAAATCCCACATATCCACCAAAAAAGACATTAGAAAGCAGGACCCAGCTGAAGGTTCTCTGCCTTTTCCTCCATCATTGATTGTGTTCCATTGACAAGCACAACAATCGAATTCCCAGCCCGAGACCCTCTTGGCGAACGACGAACATTAAATTCCTGCTTTTTTTAAAAAAAAATTAAAAGAAATAATTTTCGGATTTTTTTTATTCTTTAAAAAAACAGCTCCTCCTTTTGCTCAGAATCCCCCGTTCTGTGCGCGATCCACATCGATAACCCTGCTTTCTTTCTTTCTCTTACAATCTCTCTCTCTCTGTATTCTCCCCTCCTAAACTGATCAATACTTCATTTAAATCATGACATTAGCACACTACAACTGAAAAGAAGATTGGAAAACCAAACCAGCTCTTATGTTAAACAGTAGAAGTGAAAGGGGTTTTATTTTTAGAAAACGCATTATCAAAAGAAGTTCATAGTAAATTCCAAATATTAGACAAGTATTAAAGGTTTATGTTTTAACTCCCAAGCTCCAAACTAAGCAATATTTCATTAAAATCTGGGGAGTTGTGAGCGATCACAAGATCTGCAAAATGGAATACATCAATTCCAGATGCAAAATAATGACTTGAACATCCATTATAATTTCAGATGAAAAGTACATTTTGTATAAAACCAATAGAACGCTACCCCTTCAAAACTAATTTGATGTATATCTAAATGTTCACATACAGTATATAGGAAACAATACACGTTTTACAGCAGTACATAGTGTAGAAATTATGTAACATCATAAGCTGCTTAAAATAATAGACTTCAAAATGTATTGCAACATTTATATCACAGAGATCAAACAGCATAGAAAACAGCAAATAGTCTGTGGTTAATTTTCCTGTCTTTATTAACGAATACTCTGATTATCCTCTGGACTTACCTCAGCACACAGCGAATCCCGGGCCTGATGAGACGCTAGAACGTCTCTGCGGAGCTTCTGGATCGTAGCATCCCGATGCGACAGCTGAGTGCAATTTCGGGCAGCCGGGTGGTATTTTTTTGTATCCCAAATGTGGAAAAATAAGGAGATTAACAGAACAGAAAAACAGATGAGACGAGAATAAAAAACAGAGAAGCTAAGATTCAAAACAGACCACTACAGTAACCAAGTGCTTACATAGCCGGCACCAATGTCAACCAATAAGCAATTAGCGAGACAAGACTAAAGTTATTGATCGGGTTTTTAAAGCTAACTAGCCTGCCTGCAATTCTGTGATGGCTGCTGCTGTAACATTGGAGGTGAACGGGGGGGACTGGACAAGCAGGTCTCATTTTCCCTAGGCCCTCAGTGCTGAATTGGGAGCTGGTCATTACCATTTAGCCTTGTATTGATCTCCTTGCTAAATATCACAGGCCTTGATGCAGTCACACACGCAGGCACGCAGGCAAGCACACACATATGCGCATACACACGCCCATAAAATAGAGGTCTTATGATAATTGCGTACTCATATTTCCCAGTCATCCTTGGCCAAAACCGTCCTCAAGCCACAGTTCACTTTATACTGTCTGCTTTTCAGGATGTGCAATGTCTGGTCTTTGTGACTGTATTTGTCATAATTAGAAAACTCCTGCAACACAAAGCTTGTTCATATTGTCCAGTTCGTAACATCTTAACCAAATAGGCCTAAACCACAAGGACACTAGACAAAATAAAAACTACTTGTCAGTCTTTTAGTAAGCCAACACTTCACTTTGGCATGGCTTTTATTTCTTGAAAGAAATTCTCCTATCATTAAAAGGGGAAGTGCAATGCTATTTTTGCATTTCAGGGTTATAATGAATCAGCAGTTATGAGTGCATTTCAAACTACATTGAAGCTGCCAAGTACACGGTAACATGTACAACCTTCATTTTACATCACAAAACAGACGTTTATCAAATGGAGTTGCACTGTATGCATAGCGCCATATTGCTGTTGTTGTCTGAGAAAGAGAACGAGGCAACAGAGCTTCCAGTGGCGCAAAAGCAGCCCTAGTACACTGTAAACATGCTTCAGACCAAGCAAAGCTTGCTACTATTGTAAATATTTTTTTAAATTACAAATGTTTTCATGAAACCAACACATGCAAGATGATGTTTTCAGATACTTTTAAGTATTGCAAAAAAGAGTAACCTGCCAACCAACTACAATACACTCATAATAATTCATGTTATTCGGAGACCATATTTCTCATTTGCTTACAACTAGTGAGCAGGAAGGGCCGCTGCTTTCACGTCACATGTTGAGACTGTGGTTTCTTGTCTGCCCCCAATAACATGGCGAACAAACAGTACTTACACAAAGCTCACGATTTTACACTGCATTTAGAAATTTTTTAAAAGTTTGCTTAATAAATTTGGACTATTTTAATTAATTTTGTTAACAAAATTTAATAACCGGCCTGAGAAATTGGGACTGCAGTTCCCCTATAATTCAGATTTTCACTTTTTTCGTGAGGTTATATAAATACGTCTACTATGGACCCTTCAGTGGTTTATCTGGAAATTTCTTAACGTTCCATTGTGATGACAGTGCAGCTGCAATCAAAATGCTACATTAGGCACTGTGTATTCAGGACCAGTCGAACGGTATTCTTTTTACAGTAAAATTTCTATACATGTCTCAGTGAGTGGGCACTTCAGGGCCGAGTGTACCTCAGTCTTCAGCAGCTCCGTCCCTCTCCACAGGGATGACTGGAAGTCCTGGCTTGACGAGACCTGCTCATCACCCACCTGAGAAGAGAATGGTTCCATCCACCCGATTACTACTCTTTCATGCTTATAAAGGGGAAACAGGCACTACTTTGGTCAGGCATATTAAGGCTGCATGAGAAATAAGCCAGCAAAGATTCTCAGTTTTTATCCTTGGTAACCTAGAACCAAAGGACTGATAAATGTTCCTTTATTTAAAAAAAAAAAGAAAGACGTGTCTGTGCATGAACATAAGTGTACTTCCTCATATTTTCTTCCCATCTCCTTACAGACTACACAGGCTCTGTCACAATTGCTCAACAGTCCCACTATTACAAGTGTCAGTCACACAGCCACCAGTTCTCTACCTGTAAACTGCTAGCACACTCTTGTATTTAGAGTATGAACATTTTCTAACAGAGGTGCAGAAAGGGACTTCCTTAAACCTTTATCCACACAAGCTTTCTGATCTTTCCCTTGTGTAAATATAAGTGTTAGATTGCTACGCAATGTTTGCAATGTGACTCATGGAACTGCAGAAATTCACTATTCATTATTCTAAAAGTTTCAGATTTTATCAGACATCAGTAGTAGTATCATCACAATATTAAACTGCATTAATACGCAAAGCAATACAAAGCAGTAGACCTTCAATAGAACTGCATCCATACTTGTGCAGGTATGTTACAATAAAAGGAAAAGTCCATTCTAGTGCCTCAACAGCACAGTGAGCCAGAAATCAACCTGGTTTGTGTGCCTGGAAGGCATGCCAGCTCCATCACAGGCATTAACCGCAGCACTACTAGTCCCTATTTATACAATTGTGTGGACAGGGGCAAACAGGCTAAGGTAACTCACTCAAGGGTACAACAGCGGTGTTTGTAACAACCTGAACGCACTGTCTGCTAGCCCATGGCTCTGACACTGCTCTACATGGTCCCTTCTGTAGCGGTAATCAGGGAGAAATGAAGACAGAGACGAATGCCATGCAGCTACAATTCTTCTTACTGCAACTGGACATGGATAAGAAATGTGTGCAATGTAGGACCAGCTACTCAATTTCTGCAGAATTTCAAAATTCAAATGTTTTCAACCTAATCAACAACTGAAGAATTAGCTGAACTCCCAATCCTTCTCAGGCTGCTATTATTAAAATTGATGAACCTCTCCTGGATTTGTACACTACGTTTCTATTCATTCAAAATCATGAATCCTACAGTAACTACCTCACACAGTGCCACAGTGCTTCAGAAAGACATCTTTAATATTTGGACTTTTCACGTCACTCTGTACTAAATCCTTAGCAACCACCATAGCAACACACTCCAACATCAACGTGAAATGCATGGTAAGTTCTTGTGGGCTACCAGCCAGAGGAAAAATATACATCTCAATTGACAGAACTAAATTGTAGGTGGAAAGAAAAAACAAGCAAAATAGCACCTAATTTCACTAATCAAGAAGAGTTTGCTCTAATATAATGAAGCTAACCTGTTATTGTATTTACAATAGTGTAATTCGTGTAAGAGGTAATAAAAAATTAAAAAGGCTATTGTATTCAGTCTACTAATAGGTATTCTATATAAAAATAAAAAGGTGCTATTCCTCTTTTTTTGTAAGTGTCCTTATATTTAGTTAAAGAATATACTGTAAGATCTTCAGATACAGAGTTTCTTAATTCCTCACAATTAAACAAAGATGTTCAATAAAACAAACTATTCAAACATGTGGTCTCTGGCAGGAGGGTGACACTATCTAAAGAGGCCCAGAGCAGGTGCTGTTACCCCCTAGAAATTATTTCCTGTGGAAGAGAAATGACCTCACAGAGAGGCTTTTAGGGTTTCAGGCTGCCTGCATCTGGTTTCTAAGTCCAGATGGGTTTAGTCAAATTTGATTAGTTTTATCCCCAGACTAGGGTCCCTGGTGGCACATTGAGCAAAACTGCCACTTCACATGATGCTCCATGCACGCAGTGCTTGGTGGTGTTATACAGGTTAAAAAGAGAACATGTGGTCGCTCAGTCTGATTGAGAAGACCAGGTCTGCAGTTCTACATGCCTGTAACAGGGTCCCCACTGGTCAGCAGGGCTGAGCGCAGCACTGGCAGCAGGCGGGTTTGGTTCTTCCTTCCTTCCTCTCACGTTTTGACCTATCCAGCCCAGATTCACTTTTGTCAGTGGGCCTTCAGGACGAAGCAGTGACTGTACACTCTACTGTAGCTCCACTCAAGAGCTTTCACCTCCTTCCCAACAGCCAACCAGCTCCTCGGAGTGAGTTTCTCACTGGTGGTGGCTAAACGTAACTGTGGCAGAGAGAGCCGTACGCCTCCCCATGTCTAATGCCCAACTATTAGTACAAAACCCCGGGATTCTCTCACCTCCAGGAGAATACTAATCACTCTATAAACCATTAAGACCTTGTTAGAAGAGTGTATGCGATCTTCTCCATTGCATAAATAACTCATGATTAAGAGAATGGTCAAACTGGTTAAGATGATATGTGATCACTGAAAATTGAGTACTCATTTCAGTATGGACTCTGGCTACTCAAACAACCAGTCTAATCAAACGACTGGTCTGACCATTAAGGTACAGTATACCCATTTTGTTAGGAAGCCTTGAGTTGAGCAGAGCACCAAACTCTCTGATGCTCATTCAGGTGCTGACTCTTGAAATTAAAAGAAAGTCGTCTAACTGGGTAACCGCTTCCCCTGCGTGGGAATCAGCTGCAGCTGAATGTTGTATAAATGTTTTCATTTAACCCACATGAAACTGCCCACATCTATTTTCTGCCTTCAACAGCTGCCAAACTAGCCTTCAGACACTTGTACCAACAAGAAGACCTCAGTCAGACAGCTACTCCATTACAATGCCTCCGTTTTTTTTTCCTTGGGATAAATTATTTTAGTGCAGCAAAGATGCATCAGATTTAAAGGGAACAGTCTACCAAACAGTCCATGAGATCGGCTATCCATCTGAATGATGAGATGCAAAGACTGAAACATACAGTAAGAGTAAACAGGGATTCATTCCACAGCTGGAGTTGGAATTTCCCATTTTTAAATTTAATCTAATGCAAAAATTGAATGGGGTTTAGTGAAAATTGAAAAACAAAATCACCCAAATCTAGATTTCTTCTTTAGGAAATACAGAGCTTAAGGAAAGTGAGACCGCATCAAACAGCACTGGATAGGACTGATTAAGTGTTACTCTCCACAGCTTTCAGGAGGAGTCTGACTTGATCACACAGATAGTAGTTTCACACTATTGGCTCCTCAGCCAAACACAGACATTAAGTGTGTGTCTCTGAGTACTGACACATACATAAGTAACTATTCAGTGCTGAAGTGTTGCAAAACCATGAAATGAACTATGGTCCTTAACTAAGACTATGGCCTTGCATGGGAATTGAAAAAAAACAAACATCAAAAAGCCATATTTGCTCACCTATATTGCCTTGTACGTTTCTTAAAAATCCATGGAATGAAAATAAGACTCTTGTTGCTTAACAGTTATAACCATTTTAGGTTTTGCAGCCTGCAGACTCTTTAAAGAACCCCAGTCGTGAAGCAGAAAATCAATATATCTCATATTACTTTCCGTCCATGTGTGTAAAACATCAAGCTTCTGTATGTTTACTACACTTGATGCTGTCTAAATAACTGAATAACTTAATAGCTAAAATGAGACCTAATACCTGTGTCCTGGATCCTATTCCTAAATCCCTCCACAAAGACTAGCTTCCTAGTCTTTGTCCGATTGTAATGTTGAATCTACACTATTTCTGACATGCGTCCATTCTGCTCATGTAGTGTTTTTTAAACATGCTGGAAAATTGTGCTAGTGCTGCCTCTGAAGCACAGTCTGTTCCACCGACCAAGCAACATATTCAACAAATATTTAACTGATGATACCATATGATGAATGACAATTATTTTAATTCCTTTACTACCATGTAGTTTCTTAAATACAACGCTCATCCTACTGTATATACTGAAAGCAATTAAATGGCATTTCTGAGCAGCTTTTTTGTGATGCGATTATATAATGGGTTTCTTCTTACTTATTCACTTTATCAATACATTTTACAACATCCATCATTGAAATTATTCATGTACTAATGATTCTTGCTTTTATTTGCAAGAATACAAGTTCTGACACATTGCCCCTGTGCTCATTACCCTAGTTGGAAACATTTGATAATCTGCAAAGAAAGCTTTTATATTTAGAAGACTAAAATAACAAAACAATCACCTCTATTTAAACCAAAAATTGGACACGTAATCTTTCATCCCCGAGACATGTACAGGTGAGGGTAAAAGTAAATTATTTTCATGCAGTTGTTAGGACCTTTTTTTTAACGAAAAGCAGATTTCTCCATACCAGCTGGCATGTGAGACACGCATCTCAATTAATATTGTTTACCCACTGTGGGGCTGTATGCCTGAAGATAAAATGTTTAATAGATTAAAACAATTCCAAAACATGCTTAGCCAGACTTCTCTTTGATGTGATTGAAGGATTTATTTTGGTGAGCAGCAGCATGTTGTTTCGCAGGAGGCTATGTATGCAAAATAAGTCCCTGAATCAGCAAGACCCTAATGTTAACACTAATTAATAACTCACACAAAGGGGGATTATGCAGTTTGGGATAAGTCCCAGTTACAATGCAGTGCCCTCTTACAATTAGACACAGGCAGGACCCCCTGTGCCCTGTTCAGACATGTTTCAGTAGCATGCTTACACGTGTGAAAGGCTTATGTACAGACACTGACTGTGGACATAGAACAGTGCAGACAGAGGACAAGGGAGCGTGTGTTAACACTTTTCCTTTAAGAGTCTTGGTAGTACAGAATACAAAAATCAAGCACTATAGTTCTTCAGCATGAGGAGTAAAAATAAATGACCGAAAAGAGAGCGCACAGTTTTCTCGAACATCACTGGGTCTGTTCACTTACGCACTTCAACTACTTAAACACTTCATATTCAAAACATATGTGCAGTGCCTTGTTTAAATTTATCGAGGTGCTGACCCATAAAAAGA